GAATGGATTAATTCAAGACAAACATATTCAATGCATTATGGTTAATATTCAGGAACAAGCAAATTTTGCCTACAAGAAAGTATTGAAACAAACAAGAAAGATTACAAATGAGAATGCAAATGAAACTAGAAATTTCCATGTTGAGGAGACTAGTCTCCGTATGGACTTGTGGCTTCAGACGATGCTCTGGAAGTCTTGACATTTACTAAGTCAAAGGAGACTTCAAATCTGACTGGATGGCCTGAAATTGATAGCCTTTTTATCAAGCAGGTCTTGTACCTCTTCTTTGAAGGCCCTACAGTCTTAAATGGGATGGCCTAGTGCCCCAGCGTGGTAATCACATTGCATATTAGGATCGAAATCATTAGGATAAGGAGGAATGACAAGCTTTAGTGGCTTGGGTTCCACCAAGGAAAGCTTGAGAAACCGAGAGAACAACTGGCCATAAGTCATGGGAACAATGTCGAACACTCTCTTTGGCATCTTGTCCCTTTGCTTACCTTGTTTCATACGTATCTATTAATGGGTTTGCCTCTAAGGAGCATACCGCACTGAATGAACATTATTATTTTGATTAACCAACTGATTTCCACAACTTGTAAATGGCTGCCAGTGAGAACTTTCTGGGAGCATAGGTTGTGAATAATGTGACTCAGGTCGTGAGATTGAACCTTGAAAAGGAGAAGGCATAACCCTATTCTCTGTAGCAGTTGGCATATGATTGTTTTGCACGCTCAGATCTTTGGGAGTGAATAGAATTTTCCATGCATCAAGTAAATCCTAGACTTGGTGCTTAAAAGTTATGCAATCTTCAGTATCATGATCAGGTGCCCCAGAGTGGAATTCACACCTAGAACTGTCATCAAAGCTATGCGGGAGCCTTTCATGCATAGTGAAGATTCAGAGTTTAACCAAATGAAACCCTAGCAGGCAAGGAAGAAATTGTGCATACATCATTAGAATAGAATCAAATTATCGTTCAGGTTATTTTTACCTCTGCTAACGGACTTTTCCCTTTGGGTCCTCTTGGGAAACGACAACTGGTTGTGGATGGGAAGATCCTGGAACACAAGGTTGTGAAGGAGATACTCCATAACTTGAAAGAGTCCCCAGATTATATGGAGAAACGGTAACTCCTATTCCACCAGGTATATAACCATCTTCTTTATCCAAAACTGTCCCCAAAATTTCCATAACCAAACTCAATTGAGCCTTCAACTGAGTGTTCTCTTCTCTCAGGAGTTCTTGTCCACGGACCAAATCCTGCATGTCTAGCATAAAAAATCCCATATGTTCTTCCATCTTGTCCAATTCCCCACGAAGTTGTTCCATAACTTGAATATGATCACGGAGCAGCGAGAAGCCAAGATTTGCAGTTCTGAAAAGAAAATACCGAGTCTGAATAAGGATTCCCCAATCTGAGTAGCTTCTAAGTACCTGCTATGGATGCATGAAGGTGCATGAGGTGAATGAGCGGATGCAATGCCATGTTCAAACATTTTTTTATGCATACAATCTTTCATATTTCTTTTTTTGTGTGTAAAAGAAACATGTTATGATGCCAGGTTTAATAACATAGGTTCAAAAGTTCAGCATGACAACTGTACAATCCTCTGGATAATTGCTGTATAAATTTGTTGAATAATCTGGATATCATAGGATCAAAGGTCCGACACCAATGTCAGAATACAATGGGACCAAATACCAGTAATAATCGTTGTATACTATCTGAACAAAAACCAGGTCACCAACAGAACATACGGTCACCATCAGAACATAGTCACCATTCGTACCTACAAAGATTATTCCCTCCCTACTCACGGGTAAAGACTAGGTCAGGGTAAGGTCGGGTAACTGAAAATCACGGTTTCGCCTAAAAGTACTACCTTCTTACCCACAAACGTGGGTGTCGATAGTAATCCATTTGAACCTCGTCCGAGCGTGGTATATGACATGACTGCACTAATCGGACCACGTCCTATAGCTGTCATGCCCCCACTCTATTCCTAGTGTCCTAGTGCACTCTGTCCTGGGTACTAGGCCTTTTACCTCAATAGTAACACCCACCCTACATGGAAAACCAGAATCCAGCACACTAGATAACCAATATAGAAAGAAATAAAATGCAATGCAAACATATGCTCAAATAAACATGTATAAATGAATAAATTGGAAGCATAATAAAAAAAACACCCAAAGATAAGAAAATAACAGCTAGGATCGACTCCGGGATGGACCAGCAACTGGTCAATCTATCCCCAGTGAAGTCGCCAGCTGAAACAATCGGCTGAAAATCATCGGATATGTAATTCAATGAAGTTGCCATCGAACGATTTTTATCCCACGGGAAGGGAAAGGTAAACATCAAGAAAACTTGAAGGGGTGAAATCATGGTCTTGCAACCATAGATATCGGGTAAGGAAGTCAGTTGCGCAAGGGAAAGGTATTAACACCCCACACGCCCATAGTACTCTATGGTATCCACTCATGTTGCTCTGATATAAGGGTGTGAATTCTAGGTCTAAATCTTAAGAGCTAAAAAGATATAAGAGGGGAAATGTATGCAAAAGAAAAGAGAAAATAATGTAGGGAAAATAAAAGTTGTGCTCGTTCGGGGCCTACCCCAATGCCTACATATCTCTTTTAAGGAATCAGAGCAACCGTAGTTCGGCTTTAAAAGTTTTTGTTGGTTTTTATTTTTTAATGAACAATATTAATTCCGCCTTCTGCCACAACTCGACCTTTGGAGACTTACGCGTCAGCACAAAAGTGAATTAACATGTTCTTTTTGAAAAAGTTTGAAAGAAAAGCCCGAAGGAAAAAAGAGTTGTGTTGGTTGGTGTTTTTGCTGTGGACAACAACTAGTTAATCTCAAGAGAGAGATTTTAGCCACTTCTCCACTTATTCATGAAATAAGTCTTTGAGACTTGAACCATACCAAGGCTTAGAATGGAATAATAATAAGATCGATAAAAAACCCGCTTATCATCTCCCATACTCAACAAAGGTATGACTTTCATCATTAATCTTTAAGTGTTTTGAAGTTTGCCAGAAAAAGAAGTTTTTGTTTTAATGCAAGGATGCAAAATAAAAAGAAAAGTATAAGGGGAGACTAGAAAAATAAACCTAGAGATGTCATGCATTATTGATCCTATAGTTGAGTTTTGAAGCGAAATCTCTACCCTATGTTTGACATGCTTGGATAAAAATCCTAATGTCTCTCTCAAATCATCATCTATAGATGAATTAAGAAGTCCTAAAGGAGCATAGCAAGGGTCTATCACCTAAAACCATGTCTATCTCAAATCATCATCTATAGATGAATCGAGAGCTCTTAAGGGAACATGCTGAGGGTATATCATCTCAAAACATGCACACAAAGATGAAATCAAGCAAGCAAGCCAATAAGATCAAGAGAGCACACACTATATGTCACGAGTAACACATGCTAACTCAAGTCAAATGTCTAACAAATATATAGAAGATCAAGGTAGGTAAACAAATCAACAATTAAAAGGCCTAAGAGAGCACACCTAGATGGATCTTATCTAGGCTAGCATACCAAAGAAAGTCTAACAAAACTCTCCTATTGGGAACATGCAATGAGAGCGAAGTCGTGATCTCAATTTCTAAATCGAGTGACTCATCGATCCACAAGAAATAAAGGAAAGCGATAAAATCCTATAGGGAGCATGCACTGAGAGCGACGTCGCGATCTCAATTTATAAATTGAGTGACTCATCAATCAACAACCAAGGAAGCAAACACAAGCACAACACATATAGCAAACGAAGTGCGGAATGCCTGCTACAGGTCTTTAAACAGCGACTTCGAGCGCACGCTCTTTATTTCCTACTTCTTATGATATCTAGAAAGCAGTAAAGTATGAAATGAGATAAACAAGAGAAAATACCAAACATATATCAATCTATAGCGAATCGTATAAAAACAAGGAAACCCGACGATCTTCGCGAAAGCTTCACCAATCAAAGAAAGAGTTAGAAATTAAATGCTCGAAATAAGTATCGACGCATCATTGATGTGAAAATAAATCACAATTGAAATCTTAGGCGCATCTACATATCGCACAATAAACCTGCATATGATTCCAGATCTCAACAAGCAAAGGTGAATCACAAGTGTCAAGTAATCGAATAATCGGAATATAATTTCCTAAAATCAAAATAAAAATCTAACAAGTTTTTATTGATTTTATTGTTTTCATCATATAAAGAAAAGTTAAAACAAAACTAAAACACTATCAAAATTATTTAAAAGAAAATACTAAAAGAATAAACTCAGGGGGTGCATCCCAAAACCCAAGGGTGTAGAAGCAATCTGGGCGCTAGGCCTAACCAAACAGAGTCCATGAGTCTATTTTTGTATCACAAGCTAAAAAGATGCCAAAAAAATAGTTGTTATGGGCCTGGGGGGTGCAGTCCGGATATGGGTAGAATGAGGCACTGAATTCCCCTCATGAAAGGAGTCCAAAAGGGCTTTTTGTTTGCAACCAAGGCTTCTCCAAAAAAATCAGCAATGGGATTAAGGATTTCATCCAAATTTTAAATCCAATAACCAAACAAACTTCCAAGAATCATTCTCAATATTTCATCAATTATGTTTATTACTGAAACAAGTGAAAATGACCCAGAATGACTGCATTTTGCAATGCAATCTTAGGGTAAACAAACAGCAACTATTTAACTTCTCCGATCCGATTCTCCTGTTCTTCTCCGCTCATCTTTCCTTCTTCGATCCACTTTCGACGTCCTTCTTCGATCCGCTTTCGACGTCCTTACTCAACTTTGATACGAAACTTTGGTCTCGTTTCAACAACTTCTTTAATGAGTTCCGTCTTAGTTTGTTTCCACAGTAGCGACTTTGACGTCAAACTTCATCTTCTCACAATTTAAGTTCATCATCGTCTTGTTCGATTTCAACAAGTTTTTCTTATCTTTATCACAACATTCGCCTTCATCCATCGTGGTCTTGTTCGCGATTCAATACTCCGCGAACAATTTGTTATCTGCCTCCTCTCTTCGGCTACGATTCACACAAACAAAGATACAATACAATAAAAGAGAGTACTGAAGATTACATGTCGGAAAACATCCTGACGCCCCTTCAGGCGGTAGTCCTGAGAGGGAACCAGAAAAAGATTTACAGTGAAAATTCGGTATGAAATCTTCTCCACGAATTCTATTTCTTCTTTGATTCTTCTTCACGTTTATTATTGCAAATCATTGTGTGATGATGATGTTGATTCCATTATTGCGTGAATACTGATGATGTTGTTGTGGTTATTATAGTGTTGTTTTGTTGGTGAAAATAATTGATGCAAAGGATGCGGAATTGAGGTGGGATGAAGATGATGGTTGAGATTGCATGGAACTGCAGATGAAGATTGTTACAGTATGCGTGGAAGCAGATGAAGCTAACATAAGATTCACATGTTGATGATGAAGATGGAAGAGAGTGAATCAGTGCAGAGGATTGAGATGAAAGTTTCAGAGAGAGATAATTTTTTTGTGGTTTTGCGATTCTTCTAATGAATTGAGGAATGATGATGATGATAGTTGAAGAAAGAAGAAGAAGGGTGAGGAATTGCAGAGAGAGAGATATTTTCTTGTGATCCTGCAGAATATTCCCGATGGATCAAGGTGAGCAATTCTATTTTATACCTTTGTTAGTCTGTTAGAGCTGAATTAATCCTGAACCACTGGATTTCAATTTCTGTTAGCGAATTGAAGGGTCCAAATTATGCGGTTAAAGTTTGTTAGATTCCGTTATAAAATAGTTAGGAGGTGGTTTGGATCATGTTTATGTTTTGGCAGTTAGAAGGTGGTTAAGCTGAGTTGGTGGTTCTGTTAGTACTAATGAGCAGGGGATTGTATTTCCATTATGGTTTAAATAAAGAGCTAGCTTTTTGGTTGTTAATGTGCAGGGCTATTTATTTGGTTTTTTAATGTTGTTATTCTGTTTTTATTTTGGATTTTCCGAATAGCTCTTGCAAATTGGCTTCTGAATGAATCAAGCGCGAACTGTTTTATGTTATCGGATGACTGAACTAGTTCTTTGGATGCATGTTTATCATTTGGTTCTGCTTTTGAATTGGCGGCTGATCTGTTTTCTCCATTTGCGATTGCAAAGTTTTTGTTAAAAAGGTTAGCTTATTTGAATTTCGATTAAGGGGAAGTTATAAGTTAGTAAAAGCGGTTAGAAAATTAGTTTAGGTTAGCTAATATGGTTAGTATGTGGAACTTGTTAAAACTGATATTGTTTTTATGATGTGTTTTTCAATTGATCCAATCTTTCCCTGTTTTTATTTACTTGCCCTGATCTGAATGTACTGAGACTGGGTTGGATTATATGAATGAAACTTGTTTTTGAAGGCTTTCCTGAGTTGGATTGGAATTTCTGATATTTTATGAACTAGATTTTTAGTTTTTTATTGTAGGAACAACTTTATTGAATTACACTTGTTTCTTTTTATTTATCTTTATTTGAATGCAATGAATAGACTGGTGTTACGCTGTAGTGGTATATGAGTTTAGACAGTAGTAGTATCCGTACCGTAAGTGATTTGGGAGAAGCCTTTATTAAGCAGTATAAGTACAATATGTTCATGGCGCCTGACCGTGACTAGTTGAGGGCAATGGCTTAGAGAGACAAGGAGTCGTTCAAAGAATATGCATAGAGATGGCGCGAGATAGCTGCCCAGGTGGTGCCACTCATAGGAGAACAAGAAATGACCAAGCTCTTCCTAAAACCCTTGGATCATTTTATTAGGAAAGGATGATCGCCAATGCGCCGAGTGATTTTACCGAAATGGTAAGCATGGGTGTTCGTTTGGAAGAGGCTGTTAGAGAGGGGCGTTTGACAAGAGATGAAGGGACAAAGAATTTGTCGTACAGTTTCTCTCGAAAGAAAGAAAGTGAAACGAATTCTGCTATTGGATAAAGGAAGATTAGACCAACTAGAAGGCATCAACGGTACCAGCAATAGGTTGCTACTATGACTCCAGTCGTCAATGTAGCTCCAACCACAATTTCCTATCAGAGCCCACCTCCTTAGGGGAATCAAGGTAAAAGTCAGAAGAGAGAAGCCTTTGACTCAATTCCGATGAACTATGCAGAGTTACTCCCGACTTTGATTCAGAAGAAGTTGGTTCATACCAGGCCACCCCGTGCTATACCATCACCTTTACCTTGGTATTATAAGGCAGACCAAACATGTCCTTTTCATCAAGGAGCACCAGGGCACAATATTGAGAATTGTTATCCTTTGAAATCTAAAGTACAAAAGATGGTGAGATCTGGCCTTTTATCCTTTAAAGATGTTGGCCTTAACGTGAAAGATAATCCTTTGCCAAAGCATTAAGGAGAAAATGTTGTAAACATGGTTGCTGGTTATCTTGGCAACTTCCGAATTTTTGATATCAACCTGGTTAGAGGCGATTTGGTAAAGATGCATGCTGACCTCTGCGGGTTTAGTTACTATACACATGACCATGCTGGTTGTGGTATTTACAGTACAAATATTCAAGGATGTGATAAGATAAAATCCAATCTTCAGATAATGATGGATTAGGGCCTCATTCATATAGTCAAGCCTAGGGAAGAGTACAAAGAAGATGTGAATATGGTCTTTGGATGTCTTGGAGAATTCCGAATTTTTGATGTGAATCATATGAATGATGATTTGGTGCAGTTGCACGCTACCTTCTGTCACATGGATGGTCAAGAAGAACACCATTATGGGTCTTGTCGGATCTGCTGCAGAGATTCTCGTGGTTGTTCCATAGTGAAAAAGGTTGTTCAATTTTTATTGGACAATGGTACTATTAAAGTCCCAGACCATAGAAATGATTAATATGGGATTAACGTGATTGAAGATTGCCTAGCCAAGACTGTGTCAGATGATAAGTATACATCTGTAGATGAATTCTTTTCCTCAGATAAAGATATGTTCTCCTACAATTATTATGTGATGTCTAATTATTATGAAGAGGCGGTGAATGTTATTGTGTCTTGCTTTAGTGTTCCCGCCCCTATAGAGATTGAGTACCATAACAAACCAGTTGTTGCTCTAGTGGTGATTTGCTTGCCGGGTCTTGTTCCTTACGAATTAGACAAAGTCGTGCCATACAAATATAATGCTAAAATCCTATAGGATGGTGTGGAAGTTCCCATCCAACCATTATCTAATGTCAAGAATATTGTTGAAGCCATCCGGGTGACCCGCAATGGCCATGTTTTTGCACCTGTCATTAGAGGGAATGTTAATGCTGATAAAAGGGTTGTTAAAAGTACTGAACCTAAGAAAGCAGTGGGGGAATCTAGTGGTACTACTCTGGAAAAGGATGTGGATGATATATTGAAGATTATAAAGATGAGTGACTACAGGATCGTAGATCAATTGTTGCAAATGCCATCAAACATATCCATTCTAGCCTTGCTAATGAACTCTTCTGCCCACAGGGGATCTTTGATGAGAGTATTGGATTAAGCTTTCATGGAAAGTGATATGACTTTGGATCAATTCAGTAGTGTTGTTGGGAATATTACCTCCTGTAATAACCTGGGTTTCTGTGATGACGAGCTGCCGGACGAAGGAAGGGATCATAACTTGGCTCTCCATATCTCCATGAACTGCAAGAATGATTCATTATCAAATGTGCTGATTGACAATGGATCCGATTTAAATGTCATACCAAGGAGCACACTTATGAAGTTGAAGTATGAAGGAACTCTCATGTGCCTAAGTGGAATAATTGTGAAAGTTTTTGATGGATCAAGGATGTCTATCATCGGGGAAGTAGATTTTCCTATTCACATAGGCCCACACTTATTTCAAATTACTTTCCAGGTTATTGATCTTGTTCCCGCTTACAGTTGTTTACTGGGACGACCATGGATACACGAAGCAGGGGCTGTCACTTCAACTTTGCACCAAAAGCTGAAGTTTGTTCGTGAAGGAAAGGTGGTCATCATAAATGGAGAACAAGCTTTGTTAATATCTCATTTGTCCTCTTTCAGTGTTGTGGAAGCGGATGAAGATGCTGTTGGAACTCAGTTCCAAGCTTTATCCATTGATTATATGAGGGAAAATGAGAATTATATAGCTTCATTTAAGGATGCTTAGTAGGTAGTACGTATTGGCCCTAGTAAAGTATGGTGGCAGATTGTGGATCCACCTGTGAATAGGAATAAAGCTGGTTTGGGATTCTCTATGAAGAATGGTAAAGGTAAGAATATGAAGCCGAAGTCTGCTTTAGGTAAATATCAGGATATCTTTCACAATAGAGGTTATCTTCATCCAATTGTTCTTAGGATCAATGCTAGGTTGTAAGGTGAAGCAGAGCAGGAGTTGCCGAACTACGTGACGCGTGGAGTTAGAGTCCAAAATTGGATCACTAATGATGCTCCCTCTTGCATTGATGTCTCAAAGTAATTTTTTTGTTAATCTTTAAAAAAAAAATATTTCAACATGCCCAAGGTGAAAGTATTGATGTTGTATGGGCATATCTGTTGCTTTGATCTTTAAAATCAATAATAAAAGTTGTCTTTGATTCCCAAATTGTGTCTTTATTTTTTGCTTTTTCTCGGAAAATGGTAATCAGAAAAATCCCTTTCAAAATAAATAATAATTGTAAGTAAATCTGCATAATCACTTGCTATATGTGTCAGTTTCTAAAAGCAATCATAAATCATATGACCCTGCACCCTCTCCCAACTTTGAATATGCTGCGTATGTGGCCGAAGAAGAAGAATATGATGAAATCCCAAAAGAGCTTTCACGGTTGCTTGAGCGCGAGGAAAGTGCCATTCAGCCGTATAAAGAGTCGTTAGAGACAATCAATTTGGGTTCAGAGGAAGATCCAAAGGAAGTCAAGATTGAAGCATTGCTTCATACCAATGTAAAGAGCAGGTTGATTGAATTGTTGAAATAGTATATGGATATATTTGCTTAGTAATACCAAGATATGCCTGGTTTGGATACTGATATTATGGAACATCATTTGCCGCTAAAGCCAGAATGCTTTCCAATCAAGCAGAAATTGCAAAGAACTCACCCTGATATGGCAGTGAAAATTAAAGAAGAAGTTTTAAAGCAGATTAATGCCGGTTTTTCTTGTGACATATGAGTACCCTCAGTGGATTTCCAATATTGTCCCAGTACCAAAGAAAGACAGAAAAGTTCGCATGTGTGTTGATTATAGAGATTTAAACAAATCTAGTCCAAAAGATGATTTTCCATTTCCACATATTGATTTGTTGGTTGATTGTACAAAAAAATTTCAAAGTATTCATGGACACATTTTCTGGATATAATCAAATCAGAATGGCTCACGAGGACATGGAAAAAACAACGTTTATCACACCCTAGGGAACATTCTGTTACAGAGTGATGCCCTTCGGGTTGAAGAACGCTGGTGCAACGTACCGGAGGGCTATGACAACCCTATTCCA